AGTCCGGCCCGCGGAGCCGGGGCGCTCGCACCAGGGTGTGTTCCGAAACCCTCTGGATGCGTTTCCTTTTTGCGAAGGACTCCTCAGATCTGGCCGCAGCGAGGGCTACCTCGGCGGAACTGCAGCCTTACAATAGATTGGGGATCTGGTCTGCGGAGTAAGGGCGCCGAGGTACGGCGGGGAGAGGTGCGGGGACTGCTGTTCCCGAGGGAGAGGTAGAATTCTTTTTAGGATTGGGAAACCTCCCTTTCTTTTCTGTAGATGACTACTGGGTAGTCAGCGCCTGTTGATTTCTTTCTGGACCATTGTTTTTTTTTGTCTTACAAAAAGCTTCCTGCTTTTTACTTGCACTTGGGAGCTTGGAAAGTGACAGCTTTTCCTTCTGGGGATCCCTGGAGCTCGGCTTCTCCAGCAGCTTCCTAGGGAGTTCGGTTCACGTCCAGGGCTTGTGGAAACCGATCTGTGGTCTTGAATCTATGAGACTTCTGGAGCCGGAGGAGTTCGCCAACTGTCAAGTTACTTTTTGCCCCTTCTGTTTTCTGGATTGTATTCCCAGAAATCCTGGGAGCTGATTTACTGGGTTTCGTGTGTGTGTATGTGTGTGTGTGTGTGTGTGTGTGTGTGTGTGTGTTTTGAAGTTTCAAGGTTGGCAAGCTAGGGAGCCTCGAATGTTGGGCTTCCTGTTGAATTGTGTGTGTGTGTGTGTGTGTGTGTGTGTTGAAGTTTCAAGGTTGGCAAGCTAGGGTGCCTCGAATGTTGGGCTTCCTGTTGAATGTCCACCCGGATTCCCGGCGAATGCTAAATGCCTCACTTTGGGTTTCTGGTGTGCTGTTAGGAAGGATTGTCTCAAACCAGTCGGTTGTCCTTAATTTATCAGAAAGTCTATCCGTGTACTTTAAAGCCTGGTGGTTGTCAAGGCTTATGTAATCAACTTGTTAATTTATAATCTTCTTACATTGCTTTCCAGATTTATAAAATCATTCCCTTAAGGAAATCTGTCTTCAACGTCTGCTTAAATATTTCTCTTGGAATTGGATTTCTGAAGAGGAATGTATTGTACAAGTGATCATTGAAGCTTACTAATTAGATAACTTTGGGAGGAAACTAAAACAACCAAAAGACATTGACCATTTTATTTGAATATCTGTATCATTGTCCCTGTAAAGAAAACAGGTGACATTCCCGTTGTATAGACCCAGAAAACAGAGAAGCTACATGACATTCCCAAGGTCACATGAAGCAGTATAGGATTGACAGTCAAGTTCAAAGTGGTAACACTTAATTGCCTGCACATCTTTCTGAGCATGGGCTCCTTCAACCTCAGGCTTTGTGTGCTACCTTTCTGGTTTTTAAATTTGCTCCAGGAATTTTGATTGTTCCATTGGTATGCAAAAGTGATTCTAACCCTATTCATTCTTTGCACTTCTGAGTCGATGTTTCAAGTATACGTATATACGATTGCAGGCAGAGCCCTTAAAAACATTACCTGGGAACTCAGAAGTCATATATATATTTCTAATTTCTCTAGTCTCGTAGTCTAAAAGGAGGGTTTTAATTATTCTTATGAAGATGGAAAGACAACCTGGCACGATGGTTAAGCACTTGATGTCTACAGAAAGGTCGGTGGCTGAAAGTCACTGGGACAGCATTGTGAGTCTGCTGTGCAGATGAATAGTCTTAGAAATCCTCTGGGGCCGTGATCCTGTACTCTACCCTACAGAGTTTCTGTGAGTCAAAGTGGACTTACTGACAATGGGCTTGGTTTGGGCCTTATTAAAATGGAAGAGTGTTCATGTTTTCACTGGTTACAGGAAGTTCTGTGGGTGTTCCTGTCATCGAGAAAGCGAAACTGCATAGAAAGAAGGTATTTAATTTCGGAGAGATTCGGCTACCGTGGCTCTAAGGATTGGTATAAATAAGGCATGATTTCTTCCCTGTAGCATCTTGTCTGAACCTGAGAACTTCTTGCATTGCCCCAGGAAGAACAGTATCCAGGAAAAAACTTAACATGTGGCCAGAATTTTAGGAATTAAAGATAAGAGTTGAGGAACTGCAACCCCTTGATTTAACTCCCAGCTGTTTACTTATCAGCTGAAATGTTTTAACCAAGACACTTTGGTATGAAAACTGTTTTTCAGAATTTTGGTACTAATCCGTGGTGTACCTGAGTGCGTTTTAGGTGGAAAAGTGGCATGGATACTGGAAGTTTAAAGATAAACTTAACTTTTGATCGGTAATACACAGAGCTTCTGCATGTCTGTTTTGGGGGCCTTAGGCTAGAGCGTAGGCTCCCAAACTTAGTTGGTTTACTGCCCCTTTTCAGGGGAGGAAAAAGAAAGCATTACTCTACACTCCCCTGGCAATGACAAACTTTGGTACTGTAGTCTTTAAGCCAGGGTAAACTATAGTTACCTGCTTTTGTGCCCACCCCCCCACCCCCATTATTCCATTGCTCTCCCCCCCGCCGCCCCAGGGGGAAGTATCCCCTACTTTGGGAACACTGGACTCAAGGGTGAAGAGCCCTGGTGACAAAGTGTTTAAGCACTCACTGCAGACTACAAGGTCAGTGTTCTGAATCCACTAGCCACCCTGCAGCAGAAAGATGTGGCAATTTGCTTCCGTAAAGATTCTCACAGCTGCAGCCATCAAGTGCATTCTGCCTCAAAGCCACCCTGTAGGATGGGGTAGGAACCTCTACATGTCTCAACTTTGTCCTGCAGAGCGGCTGGCAGATTTGAGCCTGTGACCTTCAGGTTAGCAGCTCAGTGCTTGACCCACTTGGAAACCCTCTGGCTGGTGCTACTCTGTTCTGCAGTGTCACTGTGAGGCAGAATCCACTTGGTGTCAATGGTGTTTTGGGGGCTAATAGGAAAGTGAATGAAAAACTAGTTCCTGCCCTTAGGAGTTGGTAGGTCATTGGGAGTGAGGGGGAGGCATTAGTAGGCAAACCGTGTGATCAGATGGATTCAGTGGTGGGGCATGGGCAAAACCCTGAGGGAGCTGAGGTGAGGGGCAGTGAACAGTCTGACTTGGCAATGCTTCCCAGAGGTGACGGCTGAGAATTGGTCTGGAAGCCAGGTAGAGTTCCTGGGCCGGGGACAGGGATCAGAGGCTTTGGAAAGGATCCAAAGACAAGGCCAAGTGTTGGGGGGAGAACTTGGATCCAAGTGGGTGAAAGGGACTTGGGGCAGAGACAGGGCAGCTGCAGTCTTTTAAAATGAGTTTATAAAGAGAAGGGGGAGAGGTAGTTAGGGTAGTAGCTTTGGGGGGCTGGAGGAAGCAAAGCTCGTTGGTATTTTATTAAAATTTGGGAAGAGGTGTTCCCAAATCCCCAGGCTTAATGACATTGTGAGTGAGTGTGGGCAGAAGCCTCTTGTCTGCTCTGTATGTCTGGAGGGAAACCATTTCTTACCTTCGGTGAGGGCCCTGCCTAAAGAGGGTCCCTGAACGTTTCTCCTCTGCTGTCACTTCCAGAGCCTGCTGAGATTCTACTTTGGCCCCTGCAGAACTTGGCCTCTGCTCAGGTAGGCTCCGCCATGCGGAACAAAGCAACCACAAGACACTGGCTTCTTTTCCTCTCCTCTCTTTCGATGGGCCTCCCAGTCTGGGACATGGCACATGTCTGCTTGGTAGTTCTTTCCCAGTCAGGGGACGTTATCTGCCAATCCAGCGTGATGGGACGGTTCAAGTAAGGTGGCGTCTGTGCACATGTGAATCCATGCCCCCTTAGCGACATGCTTGTCCTGGGCCGTGTAATGTGTGTGGTGAAGTCAGCACTCCGTTCAGGTGGGCTGCAGGACCTGTGACTGCATCTCCCACCCAGCCCACTGGGCCTCCGTTTCTCAGTTATGGACAAGCAGTCATCTTCCTCATGCTCAGAAGGCTGTCCGCCAAGGGAAAGCCAGGCCCAGTCCGGAGTCGTTCTGCTGCACAGCCTGTGTGTCCAACACGTGCTTTGATAAAGAAACTGTAAAATTCTGATCCTTAGTTTGTGGGCTTCAGCAGCAGAAGCGTATTCCTAGAAACCATTACTTATTTTCATGCAGCCGGGTTGGGTTTGAAACGGGCTTCAGTGATAGAATTGCAGAGCTTGAAGCCACTCTTCCCATTTGTACCAGCACATGGTAGATGCTCCGGAAATGCTTCTTTCTGCCCTCTCGGTCCATGTGAATGACACTGCCGCCTACTGAGAGCCTTCCTAGGTTTCCCTGCCACCTCTACGGTGAGCTCTCGAATTCTTCCAGAATTTGTCTCTGACTCAGGACTCAGTTACATCCTTGTCACTACTACCCTCTTTAAAAAACACATTCACTGTGACCCTGTAAATGACAAGCAGACACACACACACACACACACACACACACACACACTTGCTGTTTCAACATTCTTCTCATATCCAGTGCACTGGCGTCATCTTCACCAGGTTGGCCAACCATCAATCTTACCGTGCCTTCATTGGGGTGCCTTTAAATAATCATTTTCAGCAGCCTCCTTTCCTCTCCCCCAGCTTCTCATCTTGCCCTTGTGGTCTGATCTCTGGGCTGCCAGCATGCTCTTATGGTTCAGCTCACATCTCTGGTTGCTGCTCCCCTGCTCAGTAGTCTTCTTAGTGCCTGCCTGCATTTCTCCACTTAGTAAAATGTCTTTATCTATTTATTGGGCCAATGCTGCACTCAGAAGACACCGGGAGACAGAGGTGACTGAATCCGGACATGGCCTCACATTTATTTAATCCAGTGGGAGACACAAATTATTAGTCACATGATCACACAAATAACTGATATCACCACATGGTGATAAGGGCCACACTGGGAAAGGGCTTGTGGGGGTGGATACAGGTGCTGGTGTCAGGAGCATGGGCAGGGTAAGACGATGTTTCATCTGTCTCTTCAAGCCTGACACCCCAACCCGAGGAGTAGAAACTGATTTGCATGGAAGGCAGGGCCCTTTGGGCATCTGGTCGTTCCCTCCCTTGCTGGCCTTGTCCCTACCCACTCATGCATTGTCCTTGCACATGATGGATTCTAGGTACTCTTTTCTTGGAAAGCCTCATCCCCACCCCCCACCCCAATCATCAGTTTCAAGTTTTAACCCACAAACAAAGATGGATTTCTCTGGGATGCCTTCCTTGAATTCCCCAAGGCGGATTAGGGGAAATAACACCTCCTGTA